TGGTCTAGTCATATTTAATGATAATAGAATCAGTCTATACTATATTTTAGGTATAATGTTTTAAAATGAAAGTTATCAAACTTAGTAAAGTTACAATTCAACGGTTTAAATTTTGACAAAACTTGTTAAATTTACATAATATTAGGAATACAAATAACACAAGAATCATGATCATAAAATTATTTATTTTTTGTTTTGTTTGAAATCATTACATTTTCATTCTTCATTCTTCATCATTTTCAATTAAAATTAAATCTTTGTGACTTACAGTAGACATCAATTTTGATGTATTTTGTAATTTTCTTATAATGCCAGTAATTGCAGGGATAAGATTTTTTTTAATTTCCTACAGAGGTTACACCACCTCCAAAGGGTCTGTATTGTCCTTTTTCACAATTTGACTTAATTCTAGACACATTTTTTTAACAAATGCAATCACAAGCGTAGTAATTATATAATAAGATTTAACACAAGCAATGTATACTCAAATATTATACAAAAAAAAATAAAGAAATAATTAGAATAATAGAAAAAATAAAAACAAGACAAAATATGCTTAAACTAAATATAACAATTGATATAATTGACATATTGTTTAACAAAAACTATTAACAGTTTAGCGATATAATAAACAAAAGGTAAAAGAAAATATAAGTTAACAAAACAAAACATATTAAAATGTCAATAAAAACATAAGTAATTAATATAATATTTCTATAGTTTGCACAGTGTTTATACAAATTTTAATTTACAAGGACTCTTATATTAATTATTTACAGTAGTCTCACAGAGTCGCCACAGTAAGATATAGTAACATTTTATTTATTGTACATTATTAGAGGAAAGGCATGAAATAATAACTTAAACATTTATGTTAATAATATTAAAAGAGAGAAAAAAGGTAAGTATATACAAAAAAGAACTTATGAGATATAATATGAAGTCTACTAAAATTAATTAAAAATATAAAGTGGATATTACACTTCATTTCTTTGTTGTATCTATGGGATATTACAACTAAATTAGCGTTGACAAGTAAAATTTATAACATGGAAAGAAGAATGCAAAATTAATATAGGATAATAAAAAAGTGGACCTTACAGTTATATTAAATCTAATATGTAAAATTAACAACGTGCAAAGATGTTATAACAAATATAGAAAAAAACAGCTTCGGCATGAAAATTTATGAAAATTTTTAGTACAAAAACAATAACAATTTAGTTTTAAATAAAGAACAAGTATGTTCTATTTGTCTTTTAAAAATCTATATGCGTGTAGTTTAACAAACTTTATTCAAGAATTAAGGTTTTTTTTGTTATGCAAAGGGAGAGACTTAAAATTTTTTTTTTTTAAGTTTATTAAGAATAATATTATTAATATTTTATTTTGTTGTGTCACTACTCTGCATTACGGTTAGAAACAGTTAAAAAGTAGGATTAAAATAGTAAGTACTTAGGTTTTTGATTAGTTTTAAATAACTACCTCAGATTCCTTTGTTACCAAAGTTCCTATGTCTAGAATAATTAACATTAAAACATGTGAGACTGATTTTTAATAAATGTTACGCGTAAACCTACTTATTTTATTATTTATTTGATTTACCTACATATAATTCTGACGTGAGTTTACGCATGGAAGAGAAACTAAACTTTTCTTAAATTTAAAGCTTTACTCATATGAATGTAGCCGCAGTTACCACGCAGAAAATCACGAAAAACCTTTGCTGAAATTAAAATAAAAAGCCGATTAATCGGCCGTTTGAGCCGATTAATCGTCGAATTATGAAATACTTTATAACGATGTAAAGAGCGAGCGTAAAATTTCTAAATAAAGCGCGAGCCGGCAAAATGAAAAGCGGGTTGGAAATGGCCGATGTCGTTTTAATTTCCTTAAGTCTTTCGCCCTGATGGAGAAAAAAGCGCAGTGTAATTTGATTACGGATTTATTAATATCGTTGAAAGTATGTACAAGAAGATTTTAACATCGTTATATTTGTAAATTTAAATCACACCATTGTGCTCTTTAAACGAAGCTAATAAAAGTCAGTGTGGAGTACGCCTACGAACTAGCCGATTGACTCTAGCCGGCATTGTAGCTAAATGAGCTCGTCTGCTCAATTGAGCGTGACGCTCTTAGATAATGAAGACGTTAATACCGGTGTAGGTACACACGATTCAATAACTCACTCACACGACCGTGAAATACACACACTTGCAAAAATCAGGGTTGCTACGCATACCAATATATATTTATGAAGATAAATATATAGGCTTATTTTGTGTCGTTTTATTATTATTTTGTGAATTAAGTTGTAAAAAATACAAAAAATCGACTCATACTTAAAATATATTACGTTGTTTTAGTGCCAAAAGTAAAATTTCGATTGGTGCCGCAATGGACGTGTTACTAATAAATTTTATACTTACACTGTAAAAGGTCCGGGGTGACTTTGGAGCAAAACTTATATCGCCTCGGGAGTAAGTTGTGGAATATGGATCTCTCCGATTAGATAATTATATCAATGTAGAGTTAGTTTCAGACGTCTCGCATCTTTGATACTGCCATCCGTCGCTAGCTTGGATTGTTATATTATTGGAGCCTGACGCAAGAAAACTATTCTTTGAAATCTATCTCCTCCATAATCCGTAGGCCAATTTACATAATTTTTTGGGCAATATTTGTAGCTCAACGCAGGGAACAAGGTTTGTAAACGATAAAAATCTGAATTTGATTTTTTTTCTTTTACTATCTAATTAATTCGCTAATTTATTGACAATAAATTAGGGAATGTCAAATGAATGCGCAATGTGAAGGAATGTGAAAAAGGCAAGTGTGAATCTTTTGTTGAAATAAAGATAGTTATGACTTTAGACTTTTACTCCGCTCCGTTTATGATGCTGGCAAAAGGTTTTACCTTTGCATCTGCATCAGCCCTACTATAAATACATAACATAATATGTTTACAATAAAAAAAAAATTAATATTGTTTACACGGCTACTATACGAGACCACCTATCAGAGACCATGACATCTTCCTGAAATTTAGTATAGTCGATGTTTAAAAGTAAGTTATTAAGTATTGCTTATCTAAAGCTTAATTCCCTCTTAGCAAAACTCAACACAACTTTATATGTTCATGGAAAACCAAGAAACCTTCACGCCAAGAACAAATAGAGTTTACATATGCTAGTCATGAGCTAAACAGTTGGCTCGGCTTATACAAAGGCCAATGCCATATAATTAACAATGGATACGTGTTCAAGATTGTTCCAATTTGGTTGTTGCGTGCCTTCATGCCTAACGAGAACTTGTGCCCCAATTTAACAATACATATATACATAAAAACATTAAAGACATAATGCAAAGGTTAAATTTTATTTAGGCTAATATGTTTATAATCTTTGCACATGTAAATGCTGGTCTAAATGCATTAGTCAATTTAAGTGAAGGCTCAAACGTTATCAGTAACCCTCATTTGTCACAATGGATCCGAGTCATGCATCTTTTAGATAAAACGTTCTTATATATTACGCTAAACACACTTAAATACATGCAAAATATTTGAGTGAGAGAACTAAGGGGTTATGAGAACGCAAATGAGTCTTAAAAAAGAGAAAACAAAGTGACGAATAGACGTCTTCGTAAGAAACTAGCTGCTAAAGACCGCAAACGACCTACAACTGAACCAATAAGCTAAGCATATAATAACTAAATTCCATGGTTTTATAAATCGCAAGTAGTAGGGATGTCAATAAAGTTATTCCGATTTGTTAATGAAGCGAAATAACTTTCTTCTCGTCATCAATGAGTCCACAAGTTTTGATTACAATAATTTCATGTTACGATTATAAAGTCTATTTTAATTTTAGCTTTCAATTTTGTTAGAGTAAAAGATTTATGTTAAGTAAGTTTGTTATTTTGTAATTAAAACAGTAAGTAGTATTAGGTATGATCATATCGATATCATCATACCTAAACCTAGTAGTACTATTTACGTGGTAGATCCACGCTGCAGCTATATTATGATTGTAGCAAGAATGGTTCAGCTCGATTGGGAAAGGACCACGCTCTCGCAGAATACCAGGGTAAAATAGCAGCTTAATGGTGCGATGTTTCATATGGTGATTGTATATAGTGAGAAACACTTTTTACTGGAACGAGACATTCCATCTTAATCCTTGGGGGTTCAAAATAAAGATGCATTGTCGCAGGTTTATTTTAATTCTTACTCGAGCATAAATGTAGATGTTTATGGGTCACAGCATCCACTTACCGTCGGGTGGACTGTGTGCTCGTTTGTCACTCTTATTCTATAAAAAAGAATTTTCTAGACAAAAACAAAAAGAAGAAAAAAAGTGCAAATATAAACAGTGTAAAAGGTATATCTAATATATATAAAGTATGTATTACAAAATTAAACCTTTCAAGTTATTTTTTAACCTGTATATGCGACAGCCCTGGTCACATCTTCAATTTGAAGGCACACCACGTGTACGAGTACAGCCCGAATTTGACAATGATTTCTAATTCGTTTATAGTTATTTTTTTAGATAGCTTTGGTTATCATCATTTTTTATTTGTTTATTAAGGCCTATCAAAAGTCAACTGCTGAAATAAGACCTTCTCCGTAGATTGCCTTATATGGCGATTTTTGGCATATTTGCCACACGTGGTAGGCAGATTGGCAACCGCATTATTATTGTTATGGGGTATTCATAGATAGTCTCATCTGGTTGGGCTGAATAAAAATGTTAAATAACTGAATAAAAAATAAAAATGTTCTCTGCTTCAGGCCGTCTATGCGCTCCGTCAGTTTTTGCGTTATAACCGGCTGAGACAAACTGACATTTGTCCCAGCAAACGCCATCCTGACAGTGTGCACAATTCTTGCCCTGTTATTGCCTGACCTGAAAAATTTCAGTCTGTCGATGAGGGCCCTAGCCTTTGCGATACGTTCTTCAATTCTTATTTTCCAAGCTGGGATAGCCCTACTTTGCTCAGTAGCCCGTCTTGCAAAGGTCCCGGCTGGCTTCCAAATAGGTCACCAGCATTGGGTTCAGAGCTCTCACGATAGCCCGATTCCGCTTGCAGGGAATGCGGGGAAGTCGCGGTCGATTTTCGAGAGGCGTACTGCGCGTTTCCACAATCGCCTCTTCCAATGTACTCCTCATTTGCTTTAGTTCCAGTTCCTGAGCGACTGTTCTATCATCGTCTGAATCAACCACAACTAGGGTATTCACGGCGGCATCTACGTTTGCGGGATACTCTGCAAGTTGTGGCACCGCATCTTCAGCCGTAGTATTTTCATCCGATGAGGGAACAGCCTCAGGTCGTAGCCATTCGAGTTCAGCGACATTAAATATATTTGAGCGCAAGATATATGGAACTCGGTCAGCCAGTTTTTGCTCGGTGGCGGTTATAGATGGCTCAAACTCAGCTAAAAGTCGATGCATCCTAGCCCGATAGGCAAAACCTCTAATTTCTCCCCCCCTTCACCCTAAAATACGCCGGCAATGCGTTGCTATACATTTGCATTGTCCAACGCGTGCGGTTGCTCCACCAGTGGCGGGTGCCGATTGCTGGGCCTTATTACTATTATTATAATTGAAGTGTTATCATGAAGATGCTGCTCCTAATCTCCTTTGTCAATGTCCCTGTGTCTTTTTTAAAATGTTTAAAAAGTGAAACGTAAATTTTAATGTCATTTCGAATCAAAAACTAGAAGTAATATTCTATGTCTTTGGTAATAACAATGTAATTCATGTGTGAAACTTCATAAAGTTGAACATTGTTGGTTTTATCAATATTATTATCAACTAAATCCGTTATGACGATTACGAGACGCAGTGGCTTAGCAAAGATTCGCGGTGCTGAGGGTCGCGGGTTCGAATCCCGCCCACATAGCTACAAATGGCGCTGTATGGGCTACACATAGTTTATCCGGGTCCGGACGTTATTCCTAGTGAAATTTGTACGGAAACTGCCTTCACAATACAGGCTAAGTCCTAGTTTGGAGAGTAACGTATTTTTTTAAATATAGATTTTTAGGAGTAATAACGATACCTGCTGTATCAGAATTGTAATCCCGCATCCGGCTCTTCACAAGCCCACTGCTGAACATAAGCACCCTTTGGGAATGTCACGAAACACGGTCATGAGTCATCTGGATCAGACGACCTCCTGCATATCTTACAAGGTCATTAGCTTATTACCAGACTTACTAGATGAGGATCGAGGGTGCCACTTGACAAATTTTCTTTCCCACCAGCAGTAGGTTCTTCAAGCTCTATGGCCGGTCCATTGGCACATTAGTTTGCAAAACCACACAGCTCTGACGCCACTGCGGATATCCTTAATTATGCATCAAATGGACGGACTTCATGCCATGTGGCATTCTTTGCCAGTCAGCTCTGGGTGCCAAAGACAAATGTTTGCAGATACAAAACATCTTAAACAACTGTGTATATATTATATTATCTTAGTTAGAAGTACGTTATATGCAGAATCCCCGAACTGTATTCGTTGAAGGCATCCCTTTGAGGAGGTAGAGGAAAGAGGATATCAGGGAATCTGTAGAACCAAACATATGATAATAAGATGGTATAGGATATTATTTAAAATCTGTATTATGTATATAAGGTATTGATGGCAGCATTCAACGCAAAACTGGGTACAAGAAAAGGCGGTAAGCTGAAATTTGGAATAGGGCAACGAAACCCCTTGGACTGAATCCATCGGGCTGACTTCATGAAGAAGGAGGGACTTTTTTTTATTCAGAAACGGTCGCACAGAAAGTACACCTGGTCTAGCCCTGACGGTTTGACGAAAAATTATTGAGACTTCATTATGACGACCCGACTGCGGCTCTTCATTAAAGTCTCAGTCGCGAGGGTGAAAACTGGTATATGAAGTCCTTTAGAAACTCTTTAATTCCGTACTCTTGTTTGTGGTTGCACTATTCCAAAGGCTTGAAGCATAAGCGCGGTGTCTTGTTATTATAGAAAGACGACAATGCTCTGTCGAGGAACTACAGACTGAGTTTCCTTCTGAGCCGCCAGTACGTGCTGATTTTGTGAGTCATTACGAATCGTCTCGCATGCGGACTCCACGACTTCTAGCTACCCAAACGAGCTGGTTTCGAAAAGGCTTTACCGTAGTAAAGTAAAGTAAAGTAAAGTTACAGCCTATATACGTCCCACTGTGGGTAGGCCTCCCCTGGAGGGTGGGAGGAGTTCCGCGGCTGCCCGGTGTTGACGAACTTCACATGTCTTCGAAATTTTTTTTTTCAGATGAGGTTTTGATGTTTCACCGCCGGACGTGGTTAGCACTTTGTTTTTTGGGGGGGGGGATGGTTGGTGACGGCTCCTTCGGTTGTTTACATAGACAACTCCTTTTTTAAAGTTGTCTAAAAATTAAAAGAGAAGGCAGCCTTATAGCGAGATTATAACAAAGGAAAAAGGGAATAATAAGGGAAAAGCACTGTTTTCCCGGCGCAACAGGTAAACAACAACTCAAACTAATTATTAGGCAGTTAGGGGAAATATGTTTAGGGAAGTAAATAATGAGGTCTGTTGATGAAAAACAAAACCGTCGGAATCGTCGTTAGGAGATTTTTATATGAAGAAATCTGAGTGTAGAAAAGAATCTAATAAGATCAAATCAAATCATATATTTGCAATCCAAGTGTACATAACTGGTGTTAAATTAAAAATGTGCTGGCAGCTTAGACGCCCTTTACAGGCACTGCAAATTTGACGAGGACGCTGGTTATATACATAAAATATAAAATATATTATAGAAGCTAGATAAATATAAAAATACATTATAGTGTTATTTTTTGTTATCTTAATACTCCTGCACTGAGTAGAAAAGGTTTTGTTTTAAATACGTACTGAGGCTTGATTGAAATCTTGTTAATTCTGATATGTTTTTATTTCCTTTGATAATTTATTATAAACTTTTATTGCCATATAGTAGGGGCTTGTCTTTAAAAAAAATTATTCGCGACTGTGGTAGTTATAATTTTATCTTTATTACGAGTATTTATGCTATGTGTTTCTTTAATCTTCTTGAAAATATTATTTTTTTGTGTATGAACAGGCATAGATCATAAATGTACATACAGGGTAAGGTAAAAAAATTTATTTTTTTCAAATAAGATCTACAGCTAGTAGTGTTATTTATCCGGGCTAGTATTCTAACGCACTTCTTCTGGGTAATAAATAGCGGCTGCACTTCGACGCTACTTTCACGCAACATAACTCCGTACTTAAGCCACGAATGAGCATAGGCATAGTAAGCTGACAGTGCCGTGACTGTGTCAGTGGTGTATTTAATTTGAAATAAAGCGTACGTAAATTTTGATTTATACTTTATATAATTAATGTGCGTTTTCTAATTCATGTTTGAATCCACTTTTATATCTACAAGATTAAAAGTATCAACTTATTTTAGCTGTATATTATTAAAATTTATGTTTTAAGTCAATGGGCTGCTTTTATATGTTTCATATTGCATTATTTTGGTATTTTTAAAGTTAATTTCTAAGTTGTGGTCTTTGAGCCAATTTGTTAGTTTGTGGAGTCATAGTAAAAACAGAATAGTTGGCTATCTTCTAAGAAATGTACTGAACGCCACTAATATGTGTACGTGCCTGGCACGTGACAGTACGGACTCGTACGCACGAGCCACAGCACGCCGATAATGACGCTTGCTACATACGACATGATATCGGTGGCGATCTAGGGAGGAGTAGTGGGGATGCCTCCTAGATTGCCTCTAAATCGTGTCGTATGTAGGGCCATCCTAAGTCGTGGCCGATATCGCCTCCTTAATCGGCTGGCAGGAGCAAAAATGCAGCCGATGCTTCCTAGATCGGAACCCCGCCCCCTCCGTACTGCGTGTGTGTAGGCGCATCGGGAATGCCTACCAAACTAATTGTTTTATTGCCGTTCATAAAGTAGGGTGTATGAAGTAAATAAGGAAAAGATAAAGCCTCTCCTCAACAACTAACTCCTATTCCAACGCTATCAACACAAGACCGCACTCATATCTCTTACATGCCTTCATCCTCTCATCAACAACTAACTCCTACTCCTTCACCATCTCCACATCAACAAACAAGCTATATAGAAGGGAGTATGTCCGAAATTAAAGGTTTCTTTATGTTTAAAAAAAGATAAATAAAGATTAAATTTAAAAAAAGTATACATATTATTATACAAAAGTATTTTATTTCTTTGTTTGTTGTGTGTAGTATATAACCCGATTTTGTTATTTTTTTGTTTTTTGTGTGTAGTAAATAACCCGATTTTGACCAAAGCAGAAATGAACAAAGAGAAGAAATAACTAAATAACATAGGTAGGAGAAATTGATGTTTTTATACAAGTTGCGAAATCATAAATATAGAAAAATTCTAGAAGGTTGTAAAAACTGTCTTTATCCATCCGGAGAAAATTAGTCATGTCTTTGGATTAAAGACCATTTAGTAGGTACGTTTATGTGGCTTAATTTTTATCTCTTTTGGAGCCATTTTTTCACCCAGCAACTCCTTTTTTTCTATTTTCGAATAAATTAACCAAGATGGCTAATTCCAAACCAACACGTTGGTGTTTTGAGTGAGTCGGAGGCATTTTGAAGAATTCTACCGCATATGCGTTCCGCTCCAAGTCCAAACGCGTACTGCTAGGCAGGCCCGTGTGTAGGATCTGCCTCGATAAAAGCCCTGATTTCTTTCCACCCTAGATCGCCACCGATATCGTCTCGTATGTAGCCCGAAGTCGGGAAAATAGGGCCGATTCGGGAACGCCCACCGCCGCGCTCCGCAATCACATTTGTTTGAGACTTTGTTGACTTTTAATAAAATTTTGCTAGCGGTCTTTATCGTTTTTTTTTCTCTTTTTGTAAAATAAATTAATATATGCGTTAGTTTAAGTAAATTAGCTTTTTATTAATAGGTTATATTACTATATCTATACAAAGATACATACCTCACAAGTACATTAATTACCATATCACATCACATCAAATTAATTTTTAAGCATTAATTCTAAGCTTACAACATATGCTCGGGGTTAATTTAACAGAAATCTAAATATAAATAGGAGTCGTAAAAGCGCGTGACCTTGTCGCCACACATGTGACTCGTAGGACACAAACTTGTTTCGGTCACCACTCACCAGTACTGTTTCGGACGCAGAGACTTAAAAATGGTGTTTTGAAGCATATCCAACTGTGGAAATTCCTCCATAACTTGCAAATTTTCAAATAAAGAGATAACATATCATAAATAAGTACTTAGTGTTTTATATAATGTTGTGTTTAATGAAATACACTTAAATAAAATTATACACCTACCAGTACTACGATTGTCTCCGAAATTTTAATTGTTTTCACATTTCCATTGATTCCAAAGCTAGTTCATGTCTACGAGTGCGACAGCTAAAATCAGCG